AACAGCGTCTCGGTAAAGATCATGGCCTGGGGGAGGCTCTGTCCCCCACGGATCTCACCAGGGGGGCACGAGCCCCAATGCCCCCCCCCCGGTAGTCTACGCCCATGGTCTCCATCATTTCTTAAGGTAGTTTGTCCTTGTGACGGAGCATCACTGTCACGTTGGTGAAAAGGGGTTGGCATCCGCAAACTCGGCAAGGCATCGCGAGGAAAGTGTCAGTGGTTTTTTCAAAGAACTGTTGTGTTCTCGTAGTCGTATATTGAGGTAACGCCTAGTCTGTCCTATATACGCATGCCCGCAAGAAAACGGAATCTTTTATACCACGCCAGTGACAAACTGCATTCCGTGTTTGATGCTGCACCCCACTGCGAGACATTGGATCGTCTTTTCTCGCGTGTTTGTTGTGGAGCATACTGAGCTGAGCTTGTGGCGGGTGAAAAAAACCACATTCTCATCGTATCTCTAGGCAATTTTCTTGAGTCCGTGGCAAAGGTGGTGGATGTACGGTATGACTGAAACTTTCTTCTTCTCTTTCTGCTCGAGGTCACGTTGCTAGATTTTTGGACCTGTTTTAAGGTGTTTCACCATATTTTTGCAAGCTGAAGAGATGACCGAACTAGGATATCCTGAATCCTTGAGCCACTGAATTTGGGACATGAACCTGGAATTCAATTTGTGGATGCATGTGCTTGTTAAAGCAGTCCTCTGACAGGAAAAAGCAATGCCTTGTTTGACAAGTTTGGAGTGAGCTGATTGAAAGTTCAGAAGACTTTTCGATGTTCTGGGCCCGGACTGTAAGACCAGCACAGATGATCTCCCCCCACTTCAACAAGGAGATCCAAGAACTGAATAAGGTTCTTTTTTGGGGCTTCATAGGTGAATCGAAGCCCTAGCCCTTTTTCCGTGAATATCTTCAGCACATTGTTAAGCATCTGATAGAAATTGGCCCTCTCAATGAATACAAAATAATTCTCCATGTGCCTAAACACTCTTTTGGTGTTCTTCTCCAAGCAGGGTCCCAGATGCCGATGGATCCAGCCTACGTATGTTACTGAGCACAGGGGCTATCCTCAACACTATGCATACTCTGAACTTCTATACATACACCTTGTCCTGCCATCCGATGAGTGTGGACTTCAAATAAACGGACAAGCATTCGAGAAAGTCTTCTATTGTGATCCCGCATCACGTCCTGAAGTTGCTTTCGTCGTTGTGTTCCATTATTCATTCCTTGACACTAACCGTCATGTGGCATGGAATAATATTCTTCAACATCGATGCGGAACGCGCTGCATCTGTTTGGGTTTATGACGTTTAGAAAGTCAACAACCGCCTTGGAATGGGGACGCACATTGGGTCTAAAATATGTAGGGGCTCGAGGTGCCTTTGCAAATATCCCGAAACCGCCTGTAACCAAGAATCGCGTTTGGACACTATGGTGCGGAAGGGGACTTTTTTCTGGCTTATGGGATTTGCCGCGAAAAATGTTTGATGTGAGATTATTTTCTTTCTTGGCTCCTGCAACAGCACTGGTCAGGTTCAGTTGGTGGAGAAGCTTGATAGTGCGATCCTTCAGCTTGACAGGACGATTAGAGACTGCTCTTATGTTTTTTAGTATGGCTGTTGTCCCTTTTTGAGAAAATGTGCCGTCGGGCATGATGACAAAGCAACCTTTTTTGTCGTACAAAAGTGTGTTCATGCTATTGGACGCGAGAAAGTCAATCATGTTTGCTGGTTTTACAGTCCCAGAACAGCGAGGGTCTTCTCAACTTTCAATCAGCCCACTCCAAACTTGTCAAACAAGGCATTGCTTTTTCCTTTCTGAGGACTGCTTTAACAAGCACATGCATCCACAAATTGAGCTCCAGCTTCATGTCCCAATTTCAGCGGCTCAAGGATTCGGGATATTCTAATTCGGTCATCTCTTCAGCTTGCAAAGAAAATGGTGAAACACCTTAAAACAGGTCTAAGGATCAAACAACGTGACCTTGAGCAACGTGACCTTCTGCCCGCCACTTCAGTATGCTCCGCAGTCAACAAACGCACAAGAAAAGACGATCCAATGTGTCCAAGTGGGTGCAGCGTCAAACACGGAATGCTTGCGTAGAAGGCGTGGTATAAAAGATTCCGTTTTCTTGCGGGCGTGCGTATATAGGACAGACTGGGCGTTGCCTTAACATACAAGTACGCGGACACCACAGTTTTTTTGAAAGGAACCGCTTACACAGACCTCGCGATGCCTTGCCGGGTTCGCGGAAGCCAACCCCTTTTCACCAACACGACAGTGATGTTCCGACACAAGGACAAATTACCCCAAGAAATGAAGACGTACTACATAACACAAAAAAGATCCTCATGTGTGAGCCAGCCGACAGTGACTTGGACGAGCAGCGAGATCAGCGTTTTGCATCTTGGGCCGGTTTCGTATGGAGTGAAAGAAGCGCCAGGGGCATGCCTGCATGCGAGAGCAGCAGCAGCATGATGTGTATTTTTTCGTTTCAACAGAAACAGTTGCTAGTTCAGCGCTTGTCCTGTGTTTTCTCCTCCGTCTGCCCCATGTCCCAGTCGCACTGCAAGTTATGATGAACTCTTACCAACTCGCCCAATTGTCTATTTTGCTGTGTGGCATGTTTTTTTGCCAACTAGTGCTGGCAAATGTTCATCACGCAGTGATGTGCCTGGTTTGGCATGCTGCGAGCATGTGCTGTGCCCTGGACATAGTTGGAGTTTGACGATATCTCTCACCACATCAACTGGTGGCTGATGCAGACCCGAATACATGCCGACGAATTGGTTGTCGCCTAGTGCTGAATGACCGGTGCGTTGGCTTATGCTGGCACGCTGGCCACGAATTGCACCATGGACGGATTGGACGTGAGCTGTTGCTCGTACGTGTCTATTCCATGGGCAGTGCTCGGCCGCGACGCGACTGGGCACTGGTTAGTATGCTCCTGTGATAGAAAAGAAAATGAAATAAACCATTCTTTTTAGATTTTACATTGCAAATCACATTTCAAACAGCATGACATACCTCGTGTGTGCTAGTTCTCTTTCATCCCAATATGCGGTTTGTAACATTTGATCCCAATATCGTTTAATGATCCCTTTAAAATGAATGCATTTTGCTTTTTTGTGATTTGGAGTTTATAAGTATTTACTGTGTTGTGCTATGCTCATGTATTCAAAGGAGCGGATGGCATAACTGTGCGTCTGTACATCTGGGAGCTCAGAAAGATGAAGGGAATTTACCTTTCTCACAAAAGGAAAGGGAACCAAAATTGAGCGTTTCTTTTTAAAGTTTAGTGTTGGCTTTTAAGGGGCTTTTATTTCATTAACTGGCAAGTATTAAACACTATTTTCTGACAACAGCGGGAAGCTTCAGCATTAAATTAATGCCTAACAGTGCTCTGTTATATCTGCAGAGCACTCTCTCTGTACCTGTTTCAACTCCCAGGCACAGAATACTGTTCCAGGGAAAGGCTCTCTACAAACCTCCATCATATTTACTAGTGCATAAGGGTAAGAAAGCAGCCATTTTATTTTGAAGCTAGTGGTGCAGGTTTTTCGGGTGTCTTTGAGCCAGTTATATTCCTTCTTTCTCAGACCTTTCTGTGCATGCCAAGAATGTCCATAGTAGCCCATTCAAAGAGGAAAACAAAACCAAGTGAGTTGCGGCAGCCCATGCCTATAGTGCCGAGGTTATGTTGAGTGTGGGCTGTAAATTTGCCTTCTGCAATTAAGATGGTATCCGAGTTACTCTTTTTTGTAGCCATAATTTTTTTAGAAATATGTAAGTTAAATATATACTTTGTCTTCACAAGTCTCTATGATACCCATGTTTGTTGGGGATGTCAATATATTGCCAGAAGGCTTTGGTAATGCATTGCTTAGTTTTAAAGTTAGCCAAACTCAACTTTATTTCATAATGATGTTGTCAGAAAGAATCTGCTATTAAAAAGGCATATTTTAATAAGTTTGTAATATTAAATCCATCGCGCTGTTTTATGTTTTATAATCCTATTGAGTCTTGTTCATGGAAACAAAACTATTGTAGAATACCGTGCATCCGCCCATACCACATTAAGCGCCCATACCCCAGTTTGCAAGATCTGAGAAAATATGCACAGTACATTTATATGTAGAATTGTATAACCAGACAAGTGCCCATCCCCCATTTTTTCATGATTATCTCAAAATTTTGAGGGGGCACTTGCTTGGTATTTTACGGTAGCCAGTTTCCTACTTTCATATAAAAAAACAAAAAAACATTAGAAGCTTCTTTTTTAACAGAACAGAATGCTGCCCACAAAATAGCATAAAAGAAGCACCACCAGGCAGTGAAATGATAAATTAACACGGGACCATAACTGAAAGCTTCTTTGAGCGGCATCAAACAGATAATATTGCCATGCACTTTAATTTGAAACCAAACGATTTCCACTTAAATCATTTGCTCTTTTTCATATATATGCCTGACACCGAGGTGGCATTACTTTTAAAATGCAACAAAACAATGTTTACTGTTATGCGTTCAGAGTGAAGATAGCACAATTAATTGCTTTGACCTTTCAGGTTTGGGTCACCTGGCCATCGACCATAGTGTACATGTGTCCCAACGAACTTATGATACGAGGCTGACTTTTTCATTCAGCTCTTATATCTATAAGATTTTATTGCAACCATCTTTTT